CTTACCTGTTTCAGATACGGAGCGCACGCTGCCTAGAAGCCGTTGGTTGCGCACCGTGTTCTTATAGTTATGTGTGGTTAGTGTGTGTGTGTGTGTGGTTGTGTGTTGTGTGCTCTACCTGTGTGGGTGTGTGTGTGTTGTGTGTGTGTGTGTGTGAGAGAGTGTGTTTGTGTTTTGTGTGTGTGTGTGTTGTGTGTGTGTGTGTGTGTGTTGTGTGTGTGTGTGTGTGTGTGTATGTGGTGTGTGTGTGTGCGTGTGTGCGTGCTGCGTTGCGTGCGTGCGTGCGTGCGTTGCGTGCGTTGCAGTGCGATGCGTGCAGTGCGTGGTGTGTGTGCGGAGGGGGACTGTGGCTGTGTGTGTGTGTGTGTGTGTGTGTGTGTGTGTGGGTGTGTGTGTGTTTGCGTGGGTGTGTCGTATGTGTGGTGTGCTGTGTGTGTCCGTGGCGCGTGTGCAGTGCGCCCGTGCGCGTGCGCGTGCCTTCCGCCGAGGTCGGTGCTCCCGTCTCCCGTGCGTCCGGCCAACGGGGTTACGCTGTGTGCGTGTCGTGGTGAGCTTGCGCAATTTTAAGATTGTATTTTGGGTTTCACGGGTATTAACTACTTCTTAGTGTACGGTATTCACAAAAATGTCAGTTATTCTCGGCTCCTCCCCCTTCTCTCTCTCTCTCTTTCTCTGTCGGTCTGTCTCTCTCTCTTCCCCCCTCTCTCTCTCTCTCTCTCTCTCTATCTCTCTCTCTCATGTTATTTGTTCTCTTACAGGTTAATGGTATGAACGTAATGAGGCAGTGGTTCTGGTGGGACTGCGCAGACATCTTTCCCAAAAGCACTGCATCCGGGTACTATCCCGATGGCGTCATCAACAAAAGAGATATCCGATTGGAGTACTGCTACTACACGCCCGCATAGAGGGAGCCACCTTGCAGTGACTCACGGACCCCACGGACTCACGGATCCAGGCGATATACCAGCTTAATTAAGATAAATATAATATAATATATATACATATATGTATACATGTGTATATATGATAAATGTAGCTGAAGGTCGTGACCTACGGCTAAAGGTCATGAACCCACCAATGAACGAACACCTTCCATCAATTGGTCGAACACTCGGGATTCCCCCGTGGCAGCACTGGTCCCGCACGCTGGTGCTGCCACCTATTGCCACCCTCTGCGACACGCGTGGGTAGTGGGGGCGCGGTGACGTAGAGTCGTTCTCTTGTTTCTCTCTCGAGAGAGAGAGAGAGAAGAGTTTTTAGAACACGCGTGTTTCGTTTGTTCGTACGTTTGTAGTCACGATATATACAACTACAAAAAAGAGAGATAATGCGCAGAAACAGAGTGAGACTGTAGTTTGCCTATATACTAGGCGACCGTGTATGTCCGTAATGGACACGTGAGGGAGGCCTGCATGCTGGCAGTAATAGCTGTAGTAATACTAGCGTAAACCTGTATATATATATATATGTGTGTGTGTGTGTGTGTGTACGCGCGCGCCTGCGTGCGTGCAGCGTGCGCGTGTGTACGTACGTGTGCGTGCATGTGCGTGCATGTGTGTCGTGCCTAGGTATCGTCGACCTCACCAGGGGGCGCCGCCTGCGGCGTTGCGTCGGCGGCGGGCGCTTCCTCGTATTTTCTAAGAAAAACGTAACCACGCCACCTGGCGTGCGGTCGCGGATCTACTGCGCGCGCACGGCTTTGCCACGTTCGATTGGGCTTCTCGGTGACCTTTGGGCGACCTTGAGTCGACGTCACGTCGATGTGATGCGTAGTTATGATGTCACGGGTGAATGTGGAGGTGGTGCCACCTGTATTATATGTTGTCACGCAATACGCTTCAACATGCACTTAATACACTAAAATAAATAATACATAATGCTTAATACTTAATGCGCTTAATACATGTACGTACGCATAACATGTTCTGCTGTAACGGTAGTGTGTAATTCTTAGGTAAGCAGGATAGCTATGTAGATCCTTGGACTCTTGATACAATAGATAGAAGGAGAGAGAGAGAGTACGGTATATATTTTTCATGTACATATAATTTCGTGTCAAATGGATCAAAGATTTCATGATTTTCGCGGATTCGGCGAGCGTTTTATCTGATTATTTAACATTGTATAGCTTGTATAAATGCCGATGTATGCACGAATAGTCGAAAACCGCCGACGATTTTTATGTTTAAAAAAAAAAATCGATACATATTTTAATGTTGTTATATTTACAGTAATGATTTTACAGTGAAATTGTAAAATTTTGTATTGGCAGTAAGTACAATACAATGTATTGGCACAGAGTACTTGCACTTGTCGTGCGTGCGTGCGTGCGTGCGTGCGTGCGTGCGTGCGTGTGCGGGATGGTATGTGAAATATTGAGTTTTACGGATGATCCCTCGAGCGTGACGTACCACCAAGCGTCCCCCAGAGTAGAACTGACCACTCTGGGGGGTCTGCCACTGAACTTGACCTTACTCTGACCTCTGCACGCCCTGATCTTCCCCTGCTGACCTTTCCTCGCTGAACTTTCGTCGAAACGTCAGCGGTTTTGGTCGCGTTCGTCTCGAGCGCCTGGTCGTAATCTCATTGGTCCTGCACGTCACGTGACTGCATCACCCGTTGTAACCAAGTGCTGCACGAATGTTTAACCTTCGGTACAAAATTCCGAAGGTCGTACGTTAAGTCGGTCGTATCCCAGTGAATGAACTGCGCATAGGTTGGCTGCTGCTGCGTACGCCCTGCTTCGGCCCATGTATCCCTCCTCTACACTCTCACTACAGGTCGCTTCTGTTCCGTGGCCGGGCGCCAGGAGCTGTGGTTTTACCCATGTTATCCTCCTCCCTCTTACACACCGCTACCAATCGCGAGGATTGAGAGAGTCGCGGCGGTGAAAGCCAGGAGCTGTGGTTTTAGCAACACGTAATACATATATATGTATAATAGCAACGTGTGTAGTTGGTCGCTCGTGCGTTCGTCAGTCGGGTCGGTGTGATATATAGCTGTCACGTGAATACGTGGTAGATTGGCTCGTTAGCGTCGTGATATATTAGCTTCGGTCACGTGAATACGTG